GATCTCATTTTCAAACGCCATTCCCATGCAAATAGCTATTGATTTTAAGGTGTGACAGGAATCTTATAGCTTTTATAGATGTTAGCATCCATGAACTTTAAATATTTGTTAATTATCTTGTTAACAGTAGTAGATTATATACTAAGCCTCACCACATTAGTTTTTTGGGCTGGAGGGCTCTGTTTCGCAACCGTTGTCTACATTTTGTGAATACATGCGTTGCTCCAACATGGAGTGTGGTTTTGAAGTTTGTTGCTGCTCTAAACATACTCTTATGAGTATCTTTTTCCTTTGGATATCTCTGAAGATTTCTCTCTTCTGTCTTTTGGCTCTACATCGTTTATAGAAGTCGCTGTTTAAATGTTTCTCTTTGGAAGGACTTTCCACACATTATATCCCTTCAGCTACACGTTTAACCATGGCGGCACTGCACTATCGAATGGTTGGGCATTCGCTGTGGACCAGTTTTATATGTGCTAAGATTTTGCCCATGACATTCCCGACAATACACCATTGTCTTGAGTATAGAAATCGTTTAAATAAAATGCGATTAATCCTGCGATACCTACCACATAGAAAAGTATGGTTATTTATGAATTCTCGTGCCACTGCGAATGTCGGTACGTAGGTCGCACTTCACAAAGATTGCAGGATAGAATTAAACAACATGTAACAGTGTGAAAGTAAATAATTTACCATGTCGCTCCTGTAAATCAAAAGTTCTACCACCAAAATGTGAATCAGCGATTGGCTAGCATTTACTAGTGAACCCGACTTGTGCAGACAACTACACGGATAGCATATTTGAAATTATTGCAAATGGTCGGTCGACCTTTTACCCTTTTAACATTTTCATTAAATAATTCAGAAGAAATATCTTCAATTACATTATATATATATTAATACTAAACTTCGAATTCAACCACTCATAGTAATTTGCGGTAGCATTATTAAGTTTAATTATTTGATTATAGTACGATATTAGATAAAAGTTATATTAAGCATTGAAAACATATAATTATTTCTATTTCAGCGTTATTATACAGGTTGTATTTTTTTAGTTTTATACTTTGTCCATTTATTAGAAGTTAAGCACATAGCTACACAATGGGCTATCTGTGCTCTGCCCACCACGGCTATGGAAACCCGTTGTAAGTCCGCAGACATACATACCGCTGTGCCCCTGGGGGCAGTTTCATACTTAGCAAATAGATTAGAGCATACAGAAAATGTAATGTTTTTTAACTTATAAGTTTTTGAAGAGGGTTTTCGTTGTACAAAACTTGAAAGATAGCTTTGATATACGGAAACATCTGTTAGCTGAGTTCTTGCACAGATCTTAAAATATAACGTTGATAAACGGAAACATCGGCACATGTAGGTATGTCGATCTTGAAAGTCGAGTTGTTCCAAACTTGAACATAGCGTTGATAACTGGACCAATTGTTGGTTGAGATGTTACAAAAGAAATATCTGCTGAAGCTTTTAGCCAGACACTAATCATAGCAGAGCCGTCTGGAAAATGATCTATCGTTTAGCATGGTAGGAATTTAGGTTATAAGTATATCATTCCCCTTAGGGGAATGAAATATAACCAGGGGCGGTCAGAAACTTCTGTTTCTCTTCACCCCACTAGATAATTAGAACTAAGTGGCCGGGGCTTTTAAGAATTAAACGCTTACATGAGTGAAGGTCTTAACAGATAATTTTCCTAGTGACAAGTTCACAAGCTCAGGTTGTGAACTCGTCACTAGGAAAATGATCTATAGGAAATAGTACAGCTTATAAAATGAATCAGATCAACGTAAGCCGGTAAAGAGATTACTGATTGGCATGTCCTTTAGCCAATCAGGAAATGTCACAGACCTACTGAAGGATTTGTAGATTGTATAGGAATTATTTTTGGTAGCAAAGGACAAGTTTATGTGTTTTGATAAAGATGGCTTCCAAAATATAGAGATGGTAGAAATGACAAACTTACCATCAGAAATTTTAAATTTAAAAACAGAAGTTAATATTTCTAATGAAGCCCTAATTCAAAAACATACTTTTTAGACTTTGTGGCTATTATAATTAAATATGAATGAAATGAACAAATTCAAATATTTTGGAGTGTTAAAAACTGGTCGTGAAATATGAGTTCTGAACTAATACAAGAAGGAGTGAAGATTTGAACAGAAGATGTAGCACATACAAACTTTGGAAGTTCTAATACAGGTTTATTTTTGGGCAGTATTGTTTCTCTTAGTTATTAAATTGTGAAACATTTTTTGTGATGAAGAGGTTTTGCAAATAAAAAAACATGATTTTTTATGAAATAAAAGAAATGTTTAAATACATAGCAGGAAAGGTTATATTACACTTTTATGATACCTGGAAGAGAGCTAGATGTTTTGGATGAGGTTTGATGGCTTTGAATGGTCTTCTGTTTTTAAATTTAAAATTAAAAGTAATTATATTTTAAACAAAATATATAAAGGATATTAATTTACCAACTGCAAAAATTGTTCTCAAAATATTTGTTTATTGGTTGAAAACAAGGCTTCTGTAAATATGAATCAAGTGTAAAAAGTTCAGTTAGTAATCGTAAAGAAAGGTGAATTCACATTAAGCTTTATTCTATTCATAACATAGTGTTCATTTGAATTCTTTAACTCATTCATATGCAAGTATTTTCTACTTACTTTCAAAATCAACAAAAACATCATACTTTGGGGTCTCATCTCGGGATAAAAGCTTGAGTAAATTCCCCATTCCTTCTCAGTCTTCTCTTCACTTATAAACAAGATAATGAAATTCAATATTGAAATTTATTTTCTGATAGATATTGTAAAGAACTACTAATCAGAAGCAAGCTAAGTATATATGATTTAAAAGTAATATATATATACATGAATAAAAATTAAAAACTATAATGATTAGATTGCACTCAATCTCCAATTTGATATTCTTACTCTTTAAAAGTATTTTTGAGAGTACATATATGTTGACTAACAGGCCCAGATGAACCAAAATACAAAGTAGCCAGTTTCCCATGAGGTCAAAAGGCCAACAGAAGTTAAGTTTTTTTTAATAGTCTTCTAAAATAATTGTTTAACTATTCTAAAGCATTAAATTTAGTAAGATGTTGTTTCAATGGATAAAATTTCAATGCAAATAAAAAATGATGGTTTGTGAAGAAAGGGGTGTACAAAACTGAAGTTGTATACAATCCCATTGTCATTTTAATCCACTACTGTATACCACTTCAGTCATATACACATTTAGTATTTTCCATAAAGTTTTAAAACTTCTTTAAAAAAATTTATCATTTTACTGAAACAAAAATGATGAATACAAGAAAAGATAAACAACTCCCAAACAAGTACTTAAATTTGGGGTGGGCTCTCAAGTTTTATTTCTTTCTCTTATCCTTTTAAACATACTATCTTTAATAAAAAGAAACTCATTCATAAGCCAATGGGTTTATTAATTTGGAATACACATATCCTTACAACCCTTGCACCATTTTACTTTGTAACAAAATATCTATAAAAAAAAAAGATTACATGAAAAAGTAAATAGCAATCTCCAAAGTGGGGTTCAAACCAAGGGGTAATTACTGAGAGCAGCAACATTCAACTTAACTTTTAGGATAATTACCTACTGACAATGCTTACCCTTAAGTAAGAAAATTGTTATGAGCATTTATAGCTGACACAAGCTTCCCCTACTGGTGATGTTCAGATATTAATGTTGTTAAAGATAATATAAGTTAGCTAATCACATGAGAAGTAACCACCAGGGTTTGATATTAACCCTTGTCCGACTGTCCGGAACACGTATCATGCACAGTCGGACAAGTGAAGTCCTTTAGTACTTATCTGATTGGAAATTTTATTGAAAATGTCAAAGAATATCCGTGTTTGCCAGTTTGTCATCTCTATTCCATTATTCGTCTCATCATGAATTCCGAGACTTAGTGTCCTAAAGCCCACCTCATGCTGGTGATGTAATTCCATTTCTAAGGCGGTAGTCGGGGAAACATTCAGTGTGCCGAAGTCTTCTTCCTAGATATGGGTATGTGCATACACAACTAATTAAGCTCCAAAGCCAACTAGCATGGACTAGTGAGCTGGTCAGCTAGTATTGAGAGCTTCGTTAGAATATATGTACAAGACATACAATTATCATTAGTTCAGGACTGATGAGAATGTTAAGCCAAGTAGTGTCTCTCCTTTCCACATACAGTTTTTGTCATCCCCCCCCCCAAAACAACCTAGTGTGTTATGAAATGCAGTCTCAAGTACCAGCAGAGGATGTTGCACATTTCAACTAAAGCTTGAAATTGATATAGCTAGTTAGAATATTAAGCATCAGCAGAGACAATGAACTGCTAGTTAGTAGTTCGTCTTTCTGATGCTTAATATTTGAGTGAATGTGCTAGCAATTAAACTGATGAAATATGACTGCATAGTTTACAGTTCTTTTGAAAAGGGCATTAAGGTTTCTAGTTCTTTTGTTCCCCACTTGTGTTTGGAGATGGCTCGAGGATGAGCAGGAGTTAGCAGATGAAATCTGATTAAATTGTTTGAAAAGCTTAATTAGGTGTATGGTTCTTTTGTTCCCTGTCTGTATTTGAGTGGTTGTACCAATTTGTGGTTGTCACTTGTGTCACACCCTGTTCAAAAACTTCAGACAAGTGACTGTGCCCTTTGGACAAGTAAGAAATGCTGTTCACTTGTCAGAAGGACAAGTACCCCAGTAAGCTTAATATCAAACCCTGAACCACAAAATAAAAACGAGTTAGTACACAAGATGTAGTGAGAACAAATTATTGTTGATTGTTGCTCGATATTGTTATTAATCATGAAGTGGTTTAATTTTGAAATATTATGTTTTTTTGGAAGATAACTTTTCTTAAATCGAAAGTGTATATCCAATAATACCTATCTCCCCTCACACTATAGCTATTACTCGATTGCTAGGGTTTTCTTCTTTTGCCCATCTAAGCATTGTTCTGATTTTTTCTTGCTTGCTTTAGTCTTTTGTACCCCACTTAATTGCCCTTGGCGGTATCTCTCTAGTGACACTCTCCACCTAAGTCAATGCACCCTCTATTCTGCACCTCATTCAGATAATATTATCATTTTTTCTCAACCAAGCATTCACAAAGCATTCTCAACAAAACATTCTGTACAATGACCATTGGAGTTCTTTGAGTGTTCTTCATGTTACTTAGTTGATTTTTGTATACGAAAAGAATTTTTGTTTGACAAGCTGTTATATGTATATACACAGCATAAATTTCTGGATTACTATTTCTGGCATGGAGGCAAATCAGGTCTCTCCTATCCCACCTCTGATATCTAGATTGGTTCAATAGTCAGAGGGGAGGTCACTCTCAGTTGAGGCTGTTCATGACCTTATTCATCACCAAATTCATCAACTCCGGAACATTGCAAGCTAGTATGATGATGTGATGGAAGTGAGCCCACTAAGAAAGATTTAAGGTTCGAAAACAAAGAGACCTGGACCATGTGTCCATTAACAGAGAATGTAAGAAATCACCAGAGAATTGTCGAATTGAAGCAGGACAATTTTCCCCTCAATAAGTCCAGGCCTTGAGGCATCCTTCTTTGAACTGCAAGAAATTTGAAGACAATGATGTGTAGGAAAGACTCCTCATCTATCCATAGACCCTGGAATTCCTGGCTGTTGAAATATACATCCCATCCCTGAAGTGAGGTATCAATGAAGAGATAGATCTCTGGATGAAGTGGTGGCAGAGGAACATCTATCATAGTATTGTTCTGATCTAGCCACCCCTTAAGATCGAAGATGTGGATTCTGAATAAGAAGACTGGATAATACAGTTCATGACCCATTGGTCACTTACAGACCATTGAAGAGATTTCAAGTGTGCTTATCCCAAAGGAATGAAGGATTTGAGTGACGCCCACATCCCCAAAAGAGAAAAAAAAACATCCATTAAGTGGGAGAAGTAGAAGTGAGTAAGAGTCAGACTGCCTGTTCCATAGCATGGAGCCAGGTGGGAGTCAGCTGAGCCTGGCTGAGATAAGTGTTGAAAAAAACACCCAAATGAATGCTATATTTTATTGGAGTGAGAATAGATATCTCTGCTCTGATAATAAAGTGTGCCTCAGTTGCATCTCTAGTAGAATCTGGGTGTGATGTTTCACCAACTGATGAGATAGTGCCAGCAGTAAACAGTTGTCCATGTAATGGTGTATGCATAAGCTTAAGGAATGGAAGAACTCTTCAGCAGAACACATATGGTGCTGATGCTACTCTGAAGGACAGAGCCCTGAACTGCATCACCTGACCCTTGTGCACAAAATGCAGATAGTGAGGGGACAACTCTGCTATGGGAACAAGCAGATAGGTGTTGGCAACATCAAACTTAGTCATCCAGTTTCTGGCAAAAAATGCCAATGTAGAGCGAAGAATGACTCCATCATGAACCTTGGAGGAACTAGGAATTGATTTAGACAAGAAAGATTGATAACCAGACACCAGTCTCCTATCTTCTTGGGCACAACAAACAGACAAGAATAAAAGCATGGAAGAGCTGGGATGACTCTCTCTGCTGCTCCCTTAACCAACAAATCTCTGATCGCCCTGGAAGAAAATTCTGAAATCACAAGCTATGCAAGAGACAGAAACACTACACGTTGGATGGATAAATGGTGGAGAAGATGTGAACTGAATGACCAATCCTGACACAAGGACTTGTAGTACCCATGGATCTGTGGTAAAGGTGTTCCACACATCCAGAAATTCTTGAAGCTTAGCCCCCTCAGACCCCAAAGGCATGTGGCAGTCTCGTGGATGTGGGCAGAATCTATTCTGGGTACCAATGGACCAAGGGACTGATGTCGGGAGTTAGGACACTTGAATAGGAGTAGAACTATGTCCCCCACCCCACCCATAGGAGCTGAGGAAAGTTGAGAAGCCAATTACGACAGGGATGAATGTAGATAAGCGACAAAAACCCTTGGTTCCAAAGACTTTGGAATGCCCACAAAAATCAACGGTCAGAGAAAGGGGGCCTCACATAACTCGCAGAGGGCAATGGCCAGTATACAAATGCCCTCCAACAATGCATCTCTACCCAACAACATAATAGCTAAGAGACTAGAGAAAGTGCACAAACTGACAATCAAACCAAGGTAGATGCTGATAATGGTCCCAACAAAAGTTGGAAGGATGATAAATATCTTAACATCATTGTTAGGGTCAGATGAATCCTAGAAAATCATGATCTACTCAGGTTGACCACAGACTCCATTTTGGAACCCCACATTTTCAGGAGCAGGATTATTCTTTGAGAGTCTAATAAGCATCCACTAGGCAGTGGTAGTCTAAACTATGTTGTTCTGACAAATATGGCAGACAAGGCATAGCTGTCCCTTCACATAACTGAGCAGTAAACCTCCTTGCATGAAACACAATATCAGAGGATAGAGGGAGAACCAAGTATTCACCCTCAGACCTTTCCACCATCAAGGAAGGCACAGACTCAAAAGCAACTGGGGAAAGACCCAAAACATCACACACCTGATTTACCAACTGAAGAAAAGGAGCCAGAGGTAGCTGATTCAAATTGGCCTCCTGAGAAGCTGGAAGAATAAGGAAGGTACTGGAAAAAACAAATCTACATTATCTCCAGAATGTCCAGGATTGCCCGCACATTAATCCTTTTTTTTCTGTAATGATACAAATTATTATCTCTTACATACACACAAACAAATTCAAATTTTCACATCCCAAGT